AGTATTATAGAATAATTAAATATTACTTATAATTTATAAAATAATTATTATATAATAAAAAATAAAATAGATATAAAATTATGATTGTATAACACATATATTTGTATCACAGACAAGAGTGATTACACTGTTTTATTTATGTTAACTTCAGAATTAAATTAATTATTTTTGATTATTTTAATTAATAAATTATTAATTATTAATATATTATAAACATAAAATTATAATTAATTAATTATTTTATTGATAATCGATAATCGAAATGTTTATTGTAAAAAAAATTTTTAACAAAAATTTACAAGTTCTTTTATATAGAACTTATGCAGTAAATTCAAAAGTAATTGAAGTCACAAAAGATGATACAGGTAATATTATGATTATTTTAACTTTATGAAATAAGTTTTTATTTAATAATCTTATTTTCCAGATATTGCTACAATATCAATGGCACAACCACCTGTAAATTGTTTAAATAAAGAATTATTAAATGCTTTAAATACATCTTTAATAGATGTACAGAAACAAAAATGTCAAGGTGTTATATTAACATCATCATTATCAAATATATTTTCAGCTGGAATTGATATAAAGGAAATATATAATAGAACTGAAAAACAACTTATTGAATATTGGACCACAATGCAAAACACATGGTTAACTTTATATAATTTGGAAATACCAATAGCTGCTGCTATTAATGTATTATTCTAAATATTATTGACAAAATAATTAACATAATGATACAAATGATATAAAAAATTATTTTTTTTAATCATATATAATTATGATATAATAATCATGTAATTTTATTAATAAAGGGTTCTAGTCCTGCTGGTGGATGTTTATTAGCAATGTCTTGTGAATATAGAATTTTAGTTGAAGGAAAACATACTATAGGATTAAATGAAACACAATTAGGAATTGTTGCTCCAGAATGGATGAAGGCTCTTTACATTGATATATTAGGATATAGAAGAGCTGAATTAGCACTTTTACAGTAATTTATTATTGATAAATGTATAATAAAACATTTTATATTTTATTTTATAATGTTTATAATTAATAAAAAAATATTAATTTAGGGGAACATTGTTTCATCCAAAAGAAGCATTAGAAATTGGACTTGTAGATGAATTAGCTTCAAACAAAGCAAATGCAATTGAAAGATGTCAAAATTACATCAAAAGCTTTAAAAATATATCTTGTAAGTATTATTGTATTATATCTCTATAATTTTTACCTAAAATAAATAAAATTTATTAATTAGAATATTTATGAAGTTAAAGGAAGACAAAAAACAAAAATGGAATTAAGAAAACATAACTCATCATGGTTAAAAGCAAACGCAAATTCTGATCTTAATAAATTTATAACATTTATTCAATCTCCAAATGTACAAACTAATCTAAAATTATACATGGAAACTTTGCAAAATAAAAATGTTTAATTCAAATATATTTCTTTCAATTTCTTACAAATATATTAATTATTGTTGAAAGAAGTTGAATTAATATTATTTATGTTTATAATATAAAAATAAATTTTAAAATAAAACTTTTATAAAAATAAATTTTATAAAAATTTATCATGGGAAATTTCATAAACATAAATTTTTATACAAATATATTGATATGTATTATATTGAAATATATTAATATATATTAAATTTATATTTTTCAACAAATATATATAATTCAATAAAAATACTTACCTTTAAATATTTATTTTTAAATGAATAATTTGAGAAATATTCTATTAAATTTTAAGTAGTTTCAAGTGCTAACATAACTTCTGGATCACTAATATTTAATTGCTGTAAAAGATATAAAAATTCTTCTTGTTGAGAGTCTGCAAAATGTGCTATTTCTAATCCTTGTTGATTATTTCTTTCAATTTCTTGCCTATCAAATAAAAAATTTAAATTTAAAAGAAAATATGAAAATATATAAAAGAAAAGTAATTTAATTACCTTGATAATTCTTCATTATATTCTTTAAGCCAATTTCTTAATCGATTTACCATGCTATCTTCTCGAGCATCTATTACCTAGAATTATTCTCTTAATTTTTAAAATGAAGAAAAATTTAAAAAAATATATAGAAATATTATTTCTTACCTGTAAATGTCTTTCATGAGAATTATTAAGATTATAACTTAACATATCTTTATCTTCACATAAATTTAATAAATGACGAGGTAGTTTTTGATCTTCTCCAAAACCACTAAGATAATATAAAATTAATCCATTAATAGTATCATTATATTCTGCTTCACAATTACGTAATTGTGAAAAATATCCTCGTGCAGTTGTTAAGAAAGATTCTATCATATCGGAAATATTAATTCTGAATATTTCATTTATATCCTTTGTTAGAAAAAAATTTTTTTTAATATTTTCAATCTAAAATTTTTATATATGATTTATTTTAATAAAAATATACCTGTATTTGTTCATGTAAATCTACTTCAATAGTCATTAATTTTGTCCATGTTTCAGTTACTATATTATTAAATTCTTGAGAAAGTTGTTGTGTTTTTTGAGTTATATCTTCTAATGTAGCAGCGTCTATATCTTCAACTAATTTTTTTAATAATTGTTTAATATTTACTAACATGACAGCTTTAGTTTGCAAAACCTCATTTACAATCCTATAATTAGAAATAATATAAATTGTTTCAATTTTATATTTACATCCTCCCTATATCTATAATGTTCATTTTATATTTATTATATACATCACTTACATCCTTCCTTGATTCTGTGAAATATTTTTTCCTTCATTTACACCAATATTATAAAGATTTATTTCGTCTAAACGTTTATCATGTTCTTTTAATCCTACTTCACAAAGTTCTTGACATAAAGTAGAAAAATTTATTTTATATTGTTCATATGCATTTTGTGTATCTTCATTTACCATAGATAAATCTTTTCCTTCTAAATATAAAATAAATTTAATATATTATTATGTATTAATAAATAAAAAAATATAATTATTATATTTGATAATAATTTTATAAACCTTTGTCATATTCAAACATTTGATAAAAAAGATGATCTTCATCAAGATATTCTACACATGCAGTAGTAAGAAAAGCTAATTTTTTTTCACGTTCTTGTCTTAAAGTCAATTCTTCTTTTTCTTTCATTTCTGCTTCTTCTAAAATATGTAAAGCTCTACTATAAATTATATAATATTAGTAAATTTGTACAATATAAATATACATATATATTTTTCATTATATGTTTTTCAAATTATTTTTCATATTATATTTTTTATTCATATTATATGTTATTATATATGATATATAATATATAAATATATTATAAAAATTATATAATTACTAGTGTTTTTCTCTAGCTGTCTGTCTTTGTTCTTTAGTTATCATTTTGTATTCATAATAAATTAATTGAGGTATAAATGCAAATACATAATCTAAATATCCCTCTTCTTCTGTGCATGGATTTCCACTCATATTCAAACTATATAAATTTTTAAATTTTCTTAAATATAATACCTAAATAATAATACAAATAAATAAAAATACAAAAAATATAAAATTTTCAAGATTAATTTGTGATACATACATGTTTCCAATTTGATATAATATTATTACCAATACTAAAAATTGTAAGATGGTATAAATTATCTATGTTCTCTATTTCATTAATTTCATTATTAAATAAAAGTAATATTTCCAATTTTGTTAAATTGTCTAAATTTTCTATTATTTTAATACGATTGAAAGATAAATCTAATTCTTTCAAATTAATAAGTGCATCAAGATTTTCTATTTTTTCAATTATATTATTGGATAATTTTAATTTTATAAGATTTGGCATCATCCATAAATAATCTATTTTTAAAATATCTAAAAAAATGGATTTTTAATAAATATAAGTATTATAATAAATATACATAAAATCAAAATAAAATCAATGTCATATTTAATACATACTAAGAAATTCGATTCGAATTTCTTTTGTTTCATCCAAATTAATACCATCCTCATAAAAAAGTCTACCAGCTATTCCTTTCGGTCCTTGTTCAGTTATTAAGTTTAATAACATATCTTCATTTATTACACGAGGCTGTGCAAATTCTTGTAATATCGTAGGAACATCATTTGCATTCATTTTTAGTTTTTTTATAAAATTATATAAATATATAAATTATATAAAATTAAATCGACAACTATGAGAATATATTATTTTATTGTATTGTCATATTGTTTTTATTCAGTTGCCACGCAACGATGATTTATCAACGAGAATTATTTATAATTAAACGAAGGGCTAAACTATGTAATCATGATTAAATCGTAATTAAATTAAATCGTTGAATAGTATATATTGACATTAATATAATATATTTAATT